TATAATATGTATTTATATATAATATATATAAATATTCTTGATTAATCTGTTAAAGTCGTTGCATACCTGGCAGAATGTTGCTGCTGTTGAGCTTATTATGCTGCACAAGTGTTGTGCTATCGGTTAGGGTATCTCAGCGTCTGAGCAAGCTCTGCTTTCTGGTTGTCAACTTTGTTTCTCCATCAAAACAAATGGACTGCAATTTGCAGGAATTCGATGGCGTAGGAGAACTCGAACAGTAATAAAAACAACAACAAGCAATGCGACAATAACAAACAACAACAACAACAACACGGAGAAGTGAAAAACCATAAAGCACAGTAAAAAGCAATTGATTAGCAGTTTTTTAATGGCGTCACTGAACTGCGAAATGGAAATATGCAATCGATATATCTTTCGAGTGGCGATCGCTGGGTATTGCACAAATGAAATGGGGATGTTTATAGTCAGAAGTTACCGACTAGCAGATACCCTAAACGCAGCGCCAAGCTGCCGCATTCCTATTCCTCTGCTTCTTCTTGCTTTAATGTAAATATCCCTTTAAATTGCCGAAAAGGAAAGAACCCTGTCTCAAGATCGATAAATATCGATATTATACAATCGAAAGAGAGAGAGAGAGAGAGAGAGCTAGATTCGCGCTATATTCAGTATACCCCATTTTAGAAACAAAAATAGATAGTCTTTGCCGTGTGACCAAATGAATCGATGCCAAGCAATGCCGAATATTCTAGACTTGCCGCGACGGGGAAAGATATATCTATATATATATATATATATATATATATATATATATATATATATATATATATGATCTATAGGGTTCTCATAGAACCCTCTGCAAAGGCATAAAATACAGTTAGCTGGCTTTCCAATCAAAAGATCTGCCTTGGAGCATTTTCTAGCAGTTTTCACATAGAGTCTAACTGACAAACTTAACAATCAATTAGATCGAGAACCATTAACAGCTACATTCAGACAGATAGAGGGAGAACGAAAGAGAGAGAGAGAGAGGTGAAGCGAGAGAGAGTGAGAGAGTGAAACGTTTGATAGTGCATGGCTATATTGTTGGATTTTATTGGTTTATAGAGCACAATCTATGAAATTATTATGATGATTGACTTTCTTATCAGATATACGTACGTACAACATTCGCGCTGCAATGGTTTATTTTTAGGCGTGAGCTATGCGCCTCCAACGCTCCACGCCCCAAAGCCAACTGACTCGTGGCGAGGAGCAGCAGCAGCAACAACAACAACAGCAACAACAACAGCAGCAACAGTTGCTGTCGTTTAGTCAATTATGAGTCAGTTGTTGTTGTTGTTATTGTTATAGCCCGAACCGGTTAAAATTGGTTTAAGAGGGTATAATGTCGTAGCTGTTATAGATTCCATAAATTATATATACACATTCTTTATTGGGCCAGAGCTGCGTCGATATAGGCTATCCAATTTTAGGAGCTTCAAAAGCCAGAGACTCGAATATATAATAATTTTCCATATTTCTTCTTCCATATCGCCTTTTGCCTAGTTACATCAAACGTGGCACGCAGATTCTGCTTTAGTATATACATATTACAGATTATATATATATTATGCTATTATATGTATATTATACTAAAATATTACACTTTTTGCCTACTCCACATTTACTTTGCGCTTCGGTATGCACACACTTTTGTGTGTCACGTGGAAGCTCTGAAAATTTCATGTAGATCGGACAATAAACACCGAACACTGCATTTCCCCATATGTGTGGCATGGGTCGAAGCGAAGCAGAAGCGCAGCTTGCGATATGCATAAGTGTGTATATATGTGCTTGTGTCTGTGTGTGTGTGTGTGCGTGTGTGTGTGTCTAGTAGAATGTTTGAATGTTAGCTTGGCGCTGGGTATCTCCTAGTCGGTCATTTTCTGCTAGAGCACGCCTACTCATTGTTGTTGCCGATAATAAGACTGTTTGGCGCCATTCTCTCTGCCGTGGAGGCGCTCGCAATATTCTCAATGTTTTTCATTTTAATTAGTATTATTATTCTTGTTGTTGTTGCGCTTTTTATTGCCTTTGGCAGCTGTTGTTGTTGTTGTCGTTGTTGTTGTCGCTAATCACGTGTCGCTGGGGTCATAAATGCTGCGAGTTCTCTTTATATATTTGTACATGTGTGTGTGTGTGTGTGTGTGTGTGTGTGTGTGTGTGTGTGTGTGTGTGTGTGTGTGTGTATACCACTCGGAAAGTCGGCAATGTGTGTGGGAAATGTTGAGAGTTCATGTGCCAGTCGCCAAATCGCATCGCATGCCATAATCTATAATGGCAAACTATCCAAAACGCGGCATTTACCGCAATCGATTAGAAATTAGAATCAAACAGGCGCAGGACTAGAATATAATACGCATAATATTCCAATTTCGCCAGTTCAATTACTATATATATATATTTTAGGTCTATAGATGTTTCGATTTTGATTCCGATTCCCTCAGTTCAATTACTATAAATCTATATTCGCATAATATTCCCATTTTACCAGTCTAACAACTTTATTATATAGCTCTATCGGTTATATATGTATCTATATTGAAACGAAACACTTGCATTGAATGAATAAAGTTCTGTTAATATTCCAATTTCCCCAATTCATTTACTATATCGTTTAGATCTATAGATCTATTGTGCATGGTTTCAATATAATTCTGATAATATTCCGATTTCCCCAGTCCAACTACTATATCATATAGGTCTATAGATCTATAGGTCATGAGTATAATTCTCATAATATTCCAATTTCCCTAGCTCAATTACCATATCATATAGGTCTTTAGATCTATAGATCTATGTTGGACACAAACAGTTGCATGACTTAAAAAATTGTCCTCATAGGAACTATCGGAACTATAGGAAAGGTATTTAAAACTTCGGCAAGCTGAAATTATGTATATGGAAATCAGAATTAAATTTTAGATTATATAGAATGATCTGCTTAGATAAATTAAATAGAGTCTACGAAGAATATTTTCGAAATAATAAAATCAACAATCCAAAATTCTCGAATATTAGAATCATGAATTCAAACAAATTCTCGAATCAAGAATTGATGAATAGTTGGATATCACACAGATATTCTGTATTTGTTTTATAATCTTTTATTGCCAGAAGACATTACTATATAAGATTTATTTTTTTGTAAGCCCATTTTTGTCTAAGTTTTCTTGATCTATCAGGCGAAGTTTACTTTAAATGTGAATCAAGCTTGACCTCGACAAGTCATGGATCTTAAATAATTATGATATTTCTTTAACTATTGCTCTTTCGACTACTTATATAATAAATCTTTTGTTCTCCGAAAGAACTTTTCAATTTTTACCTGTTCTCAATTTGTCAGTTCTTCCCGTTGGTCTTATATATAATATATATTACGCAGCATACTATCCACACATCTATCTGTCATCTAGCCCCTAACTCAAGCTCCTGCTCGATCTTGGGACAGCTTCACTTGACACACATTTTTCCATACATTGGATTAACTATATAATATATATATATATATTAGTGTGTGTTGGCGTACATGAAGTCTAATGCATTATAGCTCATATATCATCATCATTGGTGGATCGGAGGCATTTCCATTTCGGGGGCAATTGGCGGGTGGGCGGACCTTTTATAAATCGGAATCAGAAATGGAATCGTATCGTGCATTTAATACGTATGCGTCCTACTTGAACTCGGGCCCGTTGCACAAATCTTATCTCTGGTCACACTCACTCGCTCAATCGCCCGCTTCCCACTGTATGTAATCGGGCATTATCAGAGCGACACACACTATATATATACATATATATATATATATTGGGTGCGATATGGTGTGTGTGTGTGTGTGTGTCTGTGTGTGCCACTTATTTGCTTGGGCATAGATGTATGTATATGAGCATGCTTTTATACCCTGTAGCGGGGCAGTATTGGGTATAGTAGAGTTGTGACCGATTACTGGACCAGCTCTATCTATTTATGTATTGAACATTCGGTTTCTTGGCTTTAGATGGCTTCTATCGGATCCCTCAGAGATATACCTTGGATTTTTGGTATGCATGCGTTGCTTCACAACGATCGTGATATATTTTTGCTTTAAAATTTCTTTGGAAGTGCTTGAAGTGAAGCCCCTTGGCAATACTTTTGCTGATCGGCAGCTGCAAACTCTTCACTTGACGAAGGGCTGTGCGGATCGTAACGAACTTCTGGACTCTAAAATGATAACGGGCGAGTTTTGGCATTGCTTAACACTGTTCTTTCTAGCGGTTTGTGGGTTCTCTGGGAGAATCCACTTACCGATCGCACTTACCAAATTGATCAGGCACAGCGTTTATTTGGGCCTTAAGTTGACTGCTTTCTCGCGCTCTTTAATAAACTCCTGGCGATGGAGTCTTTGAGGATCGCAGCCCGCAAAGGATCGCCTTTTCGAGTGTGATCGGCTTTGTGAAGAGAGCTGGAATGTTGTTGGGGCCACACAAATCGACGATCTTGGCACACTGTGCGGCGGCAGTCTATAATTATAATATACCTAGCTATAATTATAAATGACGAAAGTCAACCCAATGATCGGGCCACTTCAGATTGTTGTTGTTGCTTTTGTTGCTTGTTGCTTATCGATTATCGGTAACCGAAAGTCTTTGGCCCATGTGGCCGATAATGAGTGTGCTGTGATTTATATGGCAATCAGATGGCAGGAAATACTCATATATAGGCTATATATAGTCGCAGATTAAGCCAAGTGGGCGCCAATGTTGATTAAAAGCTTAAATAGTTTATCGCTAATCGATAAATCAGCGTGTTCTTCAGGCATATCGATAACCGACAACTGACAGACATCGAAATTGAACTAGAATTGCAATGTATATGGTTAATAAATTCAAAATAAGCATAATTTAGGAATTAGTAATAATATCATAATATATCACAGTTGAAGCTGTTCAATTTATAATACTGGCTCTGTTTCGTCTATTTCAATCTATCGACATCAGTTGGCTTTCGCACCCATGGAATCGAACTGCACGAGGAGACGCAGCTGCAATGGATGTCCGAGCATCTGAGCTATCCCGACAACTTTCTGCATTTATCGGTCGACTATAAGAACGTATAAGAGCTCACAGTGAGCGATTCCATGCTTTAATCCAGGGCCGATCTATACACGGATCGATATACACTTATCGATAACTATAGCCTATAATTTATTTATTAAGTTCAATGTACAATACATATTTATGCAATAATATATATAGATATATATATATATATATATATCTAGCTTGACTTAGCTTTTGTACTACGTAACGCAAATAGATTTGCACGTCAATTCATCGATCATTTCGATTCGTACTATTTATTCTCGCATTATTTCTCTCCGACAAACAGTTCGTGCCAAGCTATTTATAAGTCCCCTCAACGGGCCCTAAGCTCGAACGGGCCCCAAGTACAACGTGGCGAAAATCGTGCCATAAATGGTTATCAATTTCAAAGGAAAAGCCACAGGCAGAAATACGCCACGAATACGTATTACCCTCTACACTCAATCAAAGTTGGAGATCTTGAAATCGAATGGAATATCTGTTCGGGATAGCCAATAATATAATAATATTACAGGAACGCATTGCGATGGGAGGATGTGTGTTCATAAAGTGGTGAGTTAACATCTAAAAATATCCTGAAATTTTATATAGTAAGTACTTTCTCGTCTGGTAGCTAGGAAATATAATCTCTTGAATGTGCTTAAGTTGATATTATATCATTATAGTTATAATATTATGTATTATAGTTACTATTCAGGGATAAATTATATCATTTCATTATAGTTATTATGTTAATCAGGATTACTTGATGTTAGATCTTGAAAGTTATTATTCAGGGATAGATTATGTCATATCATTATAGTTTCTATATTATTCAGGCATAGTTAAAATTATATCACTATAGATATTATATTTTCGTAAATAATTGATATTAGTTCATCATAATTATTATATTATATTATTCAGTAAACTTAACGCAAGCATTATATTATTTTCATCTAAAAGTCGGTCGAAATATAATTCTCTTTGAGCTTTATATATATATATATATATATATTTATAGTATATAGCAAAATCGAATTGCTTAAAAGAAAAAAACACTTTTCAAACATAGAATACAGTTGAGAACAGCTTTCTGCCCAAGCTTTGGCATACATTAGTATAAGCACATCATAGCCCTACGTCGTCGGAGCACAGGGTATACTAAAAAAGTACAACAGAATCGTACCATTTGGCTGGGTTCATTGATTAGAACACTCGCGATTTTTATCCGCTGTCAAGATAACGGCGACCTTACACAATATTTCAACCAGCTCCAGATACTATATATATATATTAGTGTCTTTGTTTGATTTTCCTTTTACTTTTTGTTCAGTTTTTATTTTCATTAATTATTTGAAGAGCATCGATTTAAAAAATATGTCACAGAGCGCTCGGCTCACCAAAATTAGTGAACGCCACTTGAGAATGATTAATACGATTATGATTATATATACATGCATATATATATACGATTATCATTATTTATCTAGGTCGTTAGGGGAAATGGCATAGAAGTGCCATCCAATAAAAAAAGAAGCACAAATTCTTGAGAATTTATTGTTTGGACTCACGAAACGTTAGCAAATCGTTTATGACAAACCACTTATTGTTCAGATATGGACATTATCGCCACATTGATGGATCTGTGCGATCGGGTTTTGCATGCTCCCGGACACGCACACATATTTATATATAGATTCCTGGAGCGAAGTCGACATCGATGGAGCATATATTTGTCCATTTGGTCATTGATCGATCCGCTCACTTTGCTCTGTCCAAATAGGCCCGGACACAGCCAGTTGATCAGCGGGAGACATACTCAAGTGGAACCAATAACTCTTATACCATAAAACGCACAATAAACAATCGATTTATTTGCCAATTACCATGAGCCGGGCCATGCATCATCCGCGAAACGATCCTCGTCGAGTGCTGATCAGTCTGCCCGATAGCTACAAGTGCATATCTTTATCTATAAATATATATGTATATACACATATATAACTGAATCATCAGCTATGCGTGCTGTTAGGGGAGCATGGCCCAAGATATCGATAGAGACACATTTCATTTTCAGCTGATCACCGATCCTCTTAAATACTGATCACTGATCTTCTCCTTCTCATATTTAAATTTTCCAAATGACACACAAATGACTGAGCATTTTTAATAAGGATCCTCTGTAATACAGATTAGTGATCCTCTTATAAGACAGTTTAAATTAAGAAGTCATTTTCATTCAGCTGATCACTGATACTGATCATACTCGCTCTCGCTCTTTTTCTGATAACTTTTTGATAAGAATTAACATGCGGAATTTCATTCAGCTTATAATTCTCTCTTTAATACTGATCACTGATCCTCTCTAACTATCTATCTATCACTTTATAGGAATAAAGAAAGGTTATACCTACTCAGTTTATCAGTGATCCTCTTTGATACTGATCAGCTGATCCCTGATCCTCTATAATATTGATAAGCTAATCAATGATCCTTTTCAATAAGGATTCTCTTTAATACTGATCAGTAATCTTCTAACATGCTTTTTTAAATTAACATATGATAAGTAATGATCATTGATCCTCTTTGATACTGATTACTGATGCTCTTTAATACTGAACACTGATCCTCTCTATGTTTCTGATATTCATTTTATAAGAATAGCCAAATGTAATTCGCTTTTAGATGATCACTGAAACTGTTCAATACTGATCACTGATCCTCCCCAATAGTAATCTGATATTCAGTGTCACATATGACATAAGCAATACTCATTCATCACCAATTGTTTGACTTAGACTCTAAGAGCTGGGTGGCTAAGTCCCAGTTATGGAGAGTTCCACTCGTGAAGGTGAAAGATTGGTGGAAAGGAATCATGATTGTCTCTTATTCGCTCAGTTTAAGATGTATTTGAGAAAATGAATCTTTCGCATTTTAGAGAAGATCAACTAATCTATAGCTCGCTGCATTTCCAGCCATTTCCGATTTCACCCGTTTCCCTTTTCCACCCGTTTAAAGTTCCGTTCGTTTCCAGTTTCGCCCGTTTCCCATTTCACCCGCTTTGGTGAAAATCTGATAATAAAAAGCCAAGTCAAGAATTCATTTTGCATACATATGGTATATAGTGTGGGGCAAAGGGAAGAAGTTTACGGATAGGGATTGATTGATCAATTGATCCCCGTACCCTTCCCTAGTCTCTACAAGTACGTCAATGGGGTTACAGTCTAGCATGGGCAACCGAGCAAAGCCGGGCAATACACACTAGTAATATATATTTTTGTTTTAAAATGAAAATCAACTAATATAAGCAAATTAAACTCGTGTGCATAATATCAATGACCTTGCCAAATGCACTCAGGTGTGCTTTTGCCGCACCCCTTAGCAGAACCTACCCCATCATCTCGTCACCCCCCCCCCCCCCCCCCCCCCCCCCCCCTTCTCAGCGCCTAGACTTGGCTGTTTGTTAACTTTGCAATTGGCTGCATTTGATGCAAGTGCAACGAGAAAAAAAAGAAAGGAAAATCAACGCTCACCCGGCGATGCACATGATCAACGGGGTGCAGCAGCTAAGGGGCGGGGCGGGCGCGGGGGCGGGGCGGTTGGTGTTGTCATTTGGTGGTTGTGTTGTCTTGCGCCAATGTTTGTCACGTGGCAGCACAAAAGTCACAAGAAAATTTGCTGCTCAGCAACACGAAATAAATCAAAGAAAATCGTCTTGTGTGTGTGGGAGCGGTGGGAGGGGGCGGGGGGTCGGTCATTGGTGTATTGAATTTAGATGCTGCCCAGATTTAAAAGCGTATACAGCCAGGCCAATAGTCACAGGTGTAGCGTGTGCATGTGTGAGTGTGTTGCCCTATCGCCAGGAAGATAGTTTGCGGATAGCTTGGTGATAGGCAAGACCTGAACACACAAACAATTCAAGTCTTTTCGTGAGTATCGCAAATGTATCTGCTAGGCGATAGATTTTCGTTGCCTCCAGGGTACATGGGCAGCTTAAATCTGCCTGCTCTTTGTCGGCAGCAATTGGTTTTCTTGCTATCGCAATTTTATCGTCCAGGCGAGAACAATTCTTAAAATATCTTAACAAATGCATTTACTATCGCAAATATAACTCCCAGGCGATACTTACTGTCTGAATGCCAGCTAACAGGAGCAGAGAAAATATGTTCGCTGGTTCAAACCCATTTTCCTGCCACTTTATCTTAATAAAAACATGAGGATTGGTTCTGATTTGGGTGCGCTTTGGCTCGAGGCTGGATTCAGGGTGTAAAAGAAAGGAATAGAATAGATAGACTATATGTTGAACTCGAACCGTTGCGGTTCAAATCCGTTTGCAGGACGAGCTCTCTCGTTTTCTGTGAACCGAAAGTTTTGTGCGCTGGAAGATAAGTAGGCGATAAATGTGCGATAAAAGCAAAACAAAGGAAGTTTCTTAGTTGCCCTCAAATAAAGGATATATAAGTGTGCGCATGTGTGTGTGTGTGTGTGTGTGTGCGTGTGTGTGTCCCTATGTATGTGAGTATATTCGTAGGGCATTTGTTGGTCTCTTTTGACGAAACTTCTTGCACGTCGAAACATTCTTTGGCAGCAATCACAACAACACATACACACACACACACACACACACACACACACACACAGTTAGTTAAAGTGTGTGTGTGTGCGTGTGTGCTTTGCAAAAATATCAACTATGCACAATGAGTGACTGCCGCATTGAACGTCGCAGCCCGCCCCGCTCCGCCCCGCCTGCCACGCCCCACCCGTTGACGTGCACATCGCAGCGGCAGCGACGTCGACGTCGGCGAGAGCACTTTATTTTTAAACGTTTTAAAAATACAAGCATTATAGAATTTAGCGGCTTAGTCATAGCGCAGAACGCTGCGCGATAACCGACAAAAAGAAGAAGAAGAAAGAAAAAAACTAAAAAAAAAAAATAAATAAAATTTACGAAAAATATGCCATGCGAATTGACCAGAACTGAGACACAGAACCAGAAGCAAAGCCAAACGAAACGAAACGAAAAGGAAAACTAAACACGCACACACACGCACACACACACACACGCACACAGACCGCAGCTGAAGTGCGATGAGCTGGCCAAAATGACACACGCAATAAGCACAAGATCACAAGATCAGAGCAACAGATCCATCATAGACAAATAGATAGATACATAGGTAGATACATAGGTAGATAGATAGATAGATAGATAGATAAATTGCACAGCCAAAGCCAAAAAGCCTTTCTTGGTGGAGCGTAGGTGAAGCGAAGAGAGGGAGGGGCACCAAGCGGTAGCTGACAAGTTTTCAACAGAACAAAAGATCATAAAACAAACAGAAGAGCAGAAATTCTACACACGCCAAGCCGAAGATTAAATACTCTACCGAAATTATGGCTAAGGAATGCAGCGATTGTTTCCAGAACAGACACATGATATAATAACACGATTTGATATGACTTGGCAGTTATGTTTTATATATATATATAGCTTGAGTAGAACGCGATTAATCCTTATAAAATATCCCAATTTTATATGGACTGTGCAGATATGTTATATATATATATATATATATATATGGCCTTTTTGAATTGTTCCTACAGCAGCCATATCATATAATAGCACGATTTGACTCGACTTTGTAGCTATACTAGATATATATAGGCTTGTAGAATTATGGCTTAGAAGTGCACCGACTTTTCCTATAGCATCCATATCGTATAAAAGTGTGATTTGATATGAGATATATTATATATATATATATATATATATATAACCCTAGTAAAATAATGTTCTACAGCTGCATTGATCAATCCTAAAGCAGACATACGATATCTCAATTTCATATGACTTTGCAGATATGTTATATATATTATATATATAAGTACCCTCTTGATTATGATCAAGAATACACAAATTATACCTTTTTGAAGGCAACTTCTTTTATGCGTCACACGATCGATGCCAAAACTATAATACCCCAAACAAAGCTATCAAATATATCATATCAAGTATCTTGGTCTGATCTGACGTGAATATAACCATTATTTCTAAGGAAAATAATCCCTATCTTAGGTAAGGCACGATTCAAAGGTAGAGTAGTATATATGTATACTATATATTCTCAAACGGTATGAACAGAAAGAAGAAAATCTTATGCATAAGAAATATGTTATATACCGCAGATATGTTGATCAAACTTTCCAGTTACGAGTTTATTAAGATCTATTCCTTATTTCATATAACTTTATTTCAAATTATAATCTTTTCTGTAAGCCTTCCTCTTTGAAGGTCGGCTTGGATACGATCATATATCGGACTAGTCTAGACTAGATCGTATGTACATATCTCATGTGTGACCAATTTTGTAGCTTTAGTTCTTCTAGGCATTGAGTTCGGGTCGGGTCTCTATAACTAGCTTAAGAAGACCACATTCGAGCATATAGAATAAGTTACTCAACATTTACGGCCAGAAACTTGGTTGGTCGTAATACCCAAGGGCCAAGAGAAGGCACATACCAAAACTTTCGAGTCGAGCTCTTCCCATAGCCGCGTTCAAGCGGACAGCCCGAAGTCGGACGTCTTTATGGCCGCAGAGTTTGTTTTGCATTGCTTTCCGATTTGCTATTTTCTAGCTAGATTGTATAACGGAATGAAAGAAACAAAAATGTATATAAAACTGTGTAACACAGCGCAGCGATCTGTTTGATCTGATCACATAATACCTGTTGAGTAGCGTGATCGGCGCGATCAGCCGATTGGCAATTGCATAAGGGCCAAGCGAGCTGTTGACTTGTTGTACAAGTGCCAAATGATTAACGGGGCCCCGCACACTGTCCAACAAAATGGCCGAACTGCATGCGAGAACGTTTACGAACCAGTGCAAAAGACAAATAAGAAAAAGTGTTAAACAACAAAAAATAACAAGTAAGAGCTTCTAGTCGGGAGCTCCCGACTAGGGCATACCCTGAACCCTCTTCTTCCAACATCAAATGCATATATATATTCTATTTTAGAAGCTATATGTCAAGTTTGGTGACTCTAGCTCCTATTATTTACCAAAATTGCCCAAAAAACAGGATATCGATATCGATTTTCATCGATTGCTTGGAAACGGAGTAAGTTATCGATTATCGGAAGCAAACTCGATCTGCGCGGGCACTAGGAGCACCTACATCTAAAATTTCATCTCTAGCTCTTATAGGTTCTGAGATCCTTGCGTTCATACATACAGACAGACGGACAGACGGACATGGCTAGATCGACTCGGCTATTGATGCTGATCAAGAATATATATACTTTATGGGGTCGGAGATGCTTCCTTCTGCCTGTTACATATATTTTTGCTCAAATACAATATACCCATTTACACCCATTTTTATTGGGTTCAGGGTAAAAAAACATTTCACGACTGCAGCTTCCTCTTTCTCGCTTCCTCTTGTCCTAGCCCCAGACAAGTGGCGATACCTCCAAAATTGTTTTCTTCTCCACTTTCGGCTGAAATGGAATGGAATGAATCCAAGAAGTAAGACATTCCTCTGCCACATATACTAAACGTGAATCTGCATACGAATTAAAGTGCATCTACCTCCTATCGATATTCCCAAATCGATTTTTATCGATATCATGAAAATAAGTTTTGATTAAAACTCGTTCGTTTCACGTCCCTGAAGTATGCGAGTTTAAATGAGCCCATTTAGTTTGTTTTATTCTCGAGTTATGCTTAACGAATCAAATCTCAAAATCGATATTTATCGATAACATAATAATGGCATCATTTTAACATTCAAGCTTCTAGGTTTCGTAGTCTTCGATTTCAAATGAGCTCATTGAGTTCTTCCAATTCTCGAATTATGGCTTACAAATCAAAACTAAAAATCGATAATTATCGATAGCATGAAAATGGGTTTAGATAAGAACCTCTGCGGTTGGTAAATAGATTTTAACGACTATGCTTCTAACTCTTGTTGTTTCCGTCTTCGAATGAACTTATCTACGTGAGCTAATCCTCGAAATATGCCCAAACAACCATATCTTAAAATCGATACTTATCGATAACATCCAAATGGAATTATTTTAGCTTTTAAGCCTCTAGTTCGCGTAGCTTCTAAGCTTGAAGCAGCTTGTCAAGCTCATGTAATCCTCGAGAGAGTCAAATCTCCAAATCGATATTTATCGATAGCAAGAAAATCGGTTCAGATATGAACTTCTGCGCATGGTATATAGATTTTTACTTTCCGGCCTTTTAGCTTTTGAAGTTGCCGAGTTCACAACAGCTTCTCGTCCTGCCTGCCGCCAGTTGCATGCGTCTGCACAAAACCAATATACCCTTTTAGCCCATTTTGAGGGGTAACAAAAAAAGAAAACAGTGCAATTTTCATGTTAATTGAATAAACTTTTTATTTCTTGTTCAGTTTTACTTTTGTTTTGTTTTTTTTTTTTCACGTTTTCTTTTCCTTCAATATATAAAAATACTGTTTTAAATATATATATATATATGTATATATCTGCACATATATGTATATGTATATATATATACATACATATTTGGGGGCTCGTGCATATATATATATATATATATATATATATATATATAAATATATATATCTATATATCTGTAAAGTTTTGCTTGCAAATCGTTTGCACGAAGAAAAAAACATCTCTTGTACATAAATATATTGTATATATGTATATTGTGTATAGATATAATTGTTGTTGTTGTTCTTGTAAATATACTACATAATATATATTTATATATATATATATGCATATCTATATAGCTATATATATATATATAATTCTTTATATGCGATCAGCAGTTTTTAACAATTTATTAAAATTTTGTTTTTTCATATCACAAGAATTTTCAATTTCCCAAAAAAAAAAAAAAACATTATGTATATATATACGTGTGTGTGTGTGTGTATAATTAATTGCTATAACTAGTTTATAGATTAAATGTTTTAGGCATAAATTTATGAGCTAAATATATGTATATAAAAAGAATTACACATTTGATTAGTTCCCGTTTGTTAACTCAATTCTGTGGGCTGGCCACGCCCAGTTTGCAGTTATATATATATATTTTTTTGGCCATGACAACAAATTCATCTGTGTGTGTGTGTGTGTGGGTTGTTTTTGTTTTTAAAGCTTTCTCTTACAATCGTCTGAATTTCGTTTGTTTTCATTTACTTCTGAGTTGTTGCTTCTTCTTCTTCATCTTTAATACCCTTGCTGCGGGCATGCCAGCTATGTCAGCCAATATGTAACGCATATATATATATATACTTGATCGGATTCTACAGATATCAGTTAAAAAAGAAGACTTTAATCAGTTTGAAGCCAATTGAAATGTTGCCTGGGAATTGGTTCTAATTTCTCGGCATATATATAGCATATATAGCGTTCATATTGGAACAATCGCTGCATATAACAATTTTCGGCAAGGGTATTCAATGCGTCGGCGCGCCGAGCCAAACAATTTCAGCTCCTGTTAACTGTTGTTGTTGCTTTTAATTTAGCGTTAAAATTCTTTAGTAAATTAAATTTTCTGCTTGATTATTTTTATGCCAATTTGCTTCTTCTTTTTTTTTTTGTACACACTAAAATTAGTTATTTACAAAAACAAAACTTACGCAATAAAAAGTAAAATATAGCAAAAAAAAGGGTACTTAAAATAATTAAAATAATTACAATATTTAGATAATTAATTAAAATTAAACAAAAAAAAGGCAACTAAAATTAATTACGATTAATTTGTAGCTAGAATTTAGCAAAAAAAAAAGATGGCGCGTAACTAAATTTAATTTTTAATTACAATTAATTAATTAATATGAAAATAATTGTACGCTGTAATAATTATGTGTGTGTGTGTGTGTGTGCGTGGGGGGGGGGATGGTTTTGATATGTGGTTGTTGTTGTTTTTGGAAGTAATTGATTAGTAATTAATTAAATTAAACGTAACAGTTAAAACACCCGAAAAGTAAATTGCTTTTTAGACTTTTGCTTGTTGTTGTTTTTTTGTTTTCCCTTTTTCGTTAATTAACTTACAAGGCCCTAGACCAGGCCCTAGGCCACGCCCCCTTCCCTCTAGCCGCCCGCTTGTTAGGTGGGTTTTTTGTTTGTTTGTTATGGTTGTTGCCGCTGCCATCAGCAACTGTTGCTGCTGCGTTGGCTTAGGCCAGCAGCGTTATGGGCGCTGCCCTGGTACTGCTTGTGGGCGTGGCAGCGACCGCAACCGCCGCACCGCCCGCTGCGGCCGAGTTAAGGCGTGCCAGCGCCTCGTGATCCAGCCAGCGCTGCAGCAACTGTTGCTGCTGTTGCTGTTGCTGCTGCTGTTGCTGCTGCTGTTGCTGTTGCATCAAGTTGTCGTTGTAGACGGCGGCATGGAGCTGCAGATTGAGGCTGTAGCTGTGCGTAGAGCTGGCGCTGGGGCTGTCGCTGTAGGTGGAGGAGCTGCTCTCGTAGCCGGAGACTGGCGAGCCTTTGGGGCAGCAGAAGCCGATGGGCGACAGCGCCGGCGCCGAGAAGGGGCTGAGCACATTAATAGTGGGCGTGGCTGGCTTGCTGCCGCCGCAATTGCTGCTGTTGCTGCTGCTGCTGCTGTTGCTGCCGCCGCCTTGAAACTGCTGCTGCTGTTGCTGAGGACTCCCGGCGTGAAACGGCGGCAGCGGCGCGGCGGCGGCAGCGTACGGCATCAGCAGCGGCGGCGACTGAAAGCAGCTGCTGCTGCTGCTGCCGCTGGCAAAGGGATGATTGCTCCAGATGATTGGCTCCCGTTGCTTGGGCGCCACGCGCTTCTTCTTCTTGCTGCCGCCGTTGAGCGTGGCATGCTCCTCATCATCGGCATCGGCGGCGCGTTCATCCTCAACGCGCAGCTCCAGCTGCTGTTCCCGCTCCCGCTCCGGCTCCCGTTCCGGCTCCGGCTCCGGCTCCCATTGTGACTCCGCCGCACTCTCGTCCAGCAGATAGGGCTTGAAGAGCTTGACCTGCTTGGCGGGCAGCTTGCGCTCAGCAACAGTTGCTGCCTCCGTGTCGGCCTCGGCCTCGACATCGACATCGATATCCACATCGTCCTCCGCCTCGTTGTCGCTGGGCTCGCATTTGATGGCCTCCAGTTTGCTCAGCTTGTCCGCCGGCGTGCTGCCGCCCAGCCAGGGCGATTGCGCCGCGCGCTTGCGACAGCCCAGCGGCAACTGTTGCTGTTGCTCGAGCTGCAACTGTTGCTGCTGCTCACGTTGTCGCCGCGCCGCGCTGCTCAGCGACAGATCCATGGGCGCGTGCAGCGGCAAATAGGCGGCAGGCGCATAACCATAAACCAAAGGCGGCGGCGGCTGCTGCTGTTGTTGCTGCTGCTGCTGTGTGGCATGTTGCTGCTGTGTTGCGGGCTGAGGAATGTGCTGGCTGTTGCTGCTGTTCAGTGGCACGGCATTTGGCACTTGTTGCTGCTGTGTTGTTGTGCAATATGGCAACGTTGTGGCGCTGCTGCAACTGTTGCTGCTGCTGCTGTGTTGGCAATTGTTGTTGCTGCTGCTGTTGTTGTTGTTGTTGCTGTTGCTGCTGTTGCTGGCAAATGCTGCCACGACGGCGGCAATTTTAGCCGCCGACAACGTGTTGTTGCTGTTGCTGCCGGCCGCCGCAGCTGCTGCTGCTGTTGTTGTTGCCGCACCAGCAACTGTTGCTGCGGTGCCATTGCTGTGCTGCAGCGGCGGCAAGGCGCCCGCCGCTGCTGCTGCTGCTGCTGCCGCCGCTGCTGCTGCCACATGATGCGCATGCGCATGCGTATGCGGCGCGGCGAAGCCGTTCGTCAGCAACTGATGCGCACGCGCGGCAGCAACAGCTGCTGCCATCGAGGCGGCGGCGGCTGCTCCGTGCGGATGATGATGATGATGATGGTGATGATGATGTGCCAAAAGATGCTGATGAAACTGATGCGGCTTCAAAGGCGCCGGCGCTGGCTGCTGCTGTTGCTGCTGCAACTGCAACTGTTGCTGCTGCTGATGATGATGATGTTGCTGCTGCTGCTGCTGCAACTGTTGCTGCTGCTGTTGCTGCTGCTGCTGATGCTGCTGCTGGTGCTGGTTGTTGGCCACCGAAGAGCGCAAGTTGGGCTCGCATTGCAGCCACTTTTGTATCTGGCGGCGATGTATGTTGTACTTGCGGGCCGTGGCACGCTGATTGCCCTTGCAGTCGTTGTCGTTGCGATACGACTCGAGCACCTGCAGCTTGAACTGCGGCGTGAAAATGCGACGTGAGCCCATCTTGGGGCTGCAGGCGCTGCTGTTGCCGTTGCTGTTGCTGTGGCGCTCAGCAACTGTTGCTGCTGCTGCTGCTGTCGTGTCCTTAGCAGGCCGCTTGGGTTGTTGTTGTTGCTGTTGCTGCTGCTGTTGCTGCTGCTGTTCCTGTTGATTAAAGCTCAGCGCGGCGGCCGCGGCCATGGCTACTGCGGCGGCGGCAGCGCTGCCGCTGTTGCTATTGTTGTTGCAATTGTTTATCGAACTTTGTTCGCTGTTATCCATTTTTGTTTGTAAAACGTTTTTTGTATATCAAAAATAGTATTTACTATACGTATATATATATATATATATATTTATATATACAGTTTTCTTAGCATATATCTATGTTGCTTTCAAAGTTGCTGTTGTTGCTGTTGTTGCTATTTGCTGGCGACGCTGGCGACGCTTGCGCTTTCATAACTCGCGATCTGGCAGCGCTGGCACTGGAAACAAGTGAGCGCAACAACAAAAACACGTTAACGCCGTCGTCTTGGAAGTAACAAAAATTGTTGCTTTTTGTATTGGTTTTATTTGTTTTTTGTTTCTGTTTTTGTTTTTGATATTGATATATTGATATTTTGCTTGGACTGTTGTTAAATGTTAGATGAAAGAACACAAGAGCACAACACAAAAAAAATATAGTATATATGCACATATGTGAAATTTGTAGCTTGAATTCATTTGCACACACAAAAACACACAGAGAAAAATATATATTTGTTGCTCTTGTTTGGCAACGCGACGCGATCCGCAACCGCACGGCAAGGAATCCAAAACACAATTGTTCTGCCTGCTGCGTTCTACGTTCTAGACTGGCTGGCCCGTCGTTGTCGGCGCTGCTGCTGCTGCTGCTGCCGCTGCCGCTCACACACGCACACACACACACACACACACAGATACGATGCGAGAACGAAACGAAACGAAACGAACTGAAATGAACGAATGAACGCAACAACAACACAGCCGCAGCCACAGCACAGCTCGCGCGCGCGCCTCTCAGTCTGAGAGTGTGAGTGCAGTCGACGCTCTGTCTGCTTGTTTGTGTGCCTGTGCGTGTGTATGTGTGTGCCAGCGCGTATCTGTGTGCGTTCTAATAGCTCATCAGCAGCAGCAACAGCAGCGACAGCGCAGCAAGTGTGCGTGCATCTATGTGTGAGTGTGAACGAGTCAGACACTTGGCGGGCCCCAGAGTTGCCGCCGCCAGACCAAACCAGTTGTTGTTATTGCTATTGTTGCTCTTGTTGTTGTTGTTGCTCTTGTTGTTGTTGCTTTTGCAGCCAAGCCAGCAGCAACAGCGCTGAGCACTGCAGACAAACTGACGACAATCGTCGGCGAGGTGTCTGCGCTCCTGTATTATGCAGCATGTACACTTGTGTGCGTGCGTGTGTGTGTGCGTGTGTGTGTGAGTGAGTGAATACGTTGAATGGTTGTATGCGTGTGTGTGTGAGAATACTTCTTGTTGTGTTCATGATGGAATAGCATACATACATATATCTGTTTGCATATATATATATATATATATATATGTATATATATATATGTATATGTATATATTAATATGAATATAAATATATTATTCCATCATGGTTGTGCTTGCTGCGACCGCGGCGCTTTTGTGTGGCTGGTGTAGAGTTGATTTTCTGCTACGACCGACAACCGACGCGTCGGACGCATCGGACAGAAGGGGACGGACACGAACGACGATTGCTGGCCCTGCCCCCGGGCACGGCCCAGGCCCGAACCGCCGTCGCCTGCCTCACCACAGGCTGACTAACTGACAAACTCTGTGTGGTGTGCTGGCCACTCAAACTGTGCACAGTGGGACAACATATCGACAATCACAGGTATATGCTGTAATATGAAATGATTTTTTATCACACAACTAAAATACATATTGACGTATGTATGTACATCTATATGCCTATGCATATTTTCTCTGTTTATCAGAACTATTTAATTATAAAAAAAAATTCAAGGCGTATATATTCAATGTGTATATGCTATCATTTTAAAATGAATTTTAGCCAACAATTACACATTCATTAAAAGCTTTGCCACACTGTGTTGCTGCTATTGTGGCTGTGCGCCAAAGGAGCAGCAGCGACAACGACAGCGACGACTGCGAACCACGTTGCGGCGGCCGCTTCCAACTTGCGCTACAATTTCGCTAGCTCTGCCAGTTTACACCGATACATGCACACACACACACACACACACATGCAGCGCAGAGTGCATGTACGGTGCACGTGTATGTGTGCGAGTGTGTGTGAGTCGTGGCTGCCAGACATTCTGGCACTAGGGCTCGGCCCGGCCGACATGTTTGGTGCTTTTGCTTTTGCTCTGTCGCCTCGACGCGGCGACGCAGCGTCAAATCGTCACATGAACTTGTTGAGCGCTTGCCGTCGCATGATGTGTGTGCGTGTGTGTGTATATGACTTAAGGCGGAAGGGGGGGTTGAGTGCACGCCATGCCATTGCCTCTCTGACTCTCGCGCTCTGCGCTTACGCTCTGTGCATGCATTTAAGTTTGTGTGTGTGTATGTGTATTACGTACACAATCGAGAATCAACTGTTGAATGTGTAATGCGCCGTGCTGGCTCACGATGGAATAACATGTTATTCCATTATGAGAGCGATGCATTTGTTTTGTATGTGTGCGTACGTGTGTATGCTTCGTTGTTGTTGCTGTAGATGTGTGTACATATGCATGTGTGTACATACATACATACAGACATACATTGTTTTTGGCTGTGGGTGCATTACAGTCGTCGCTGTTGCTATCGCTTAGCGATGCTGCCGTCGCCCCCACCTGACTAAGCTCAAAGACAAAAGGGCATAGCTACAACAACATCAGCAAAGGCAAATGCAACTGCACTAAAATAACAACGACAGCAATTGCAACAACAACAACTGCAACTGTGGGCCGCACTTGTTGCAAATGACAAACGAAATTTTCTGTGCGCTCAACGCGCAGAGACAAAAATCTGCGCTGCTTCTGTCGCTGTCGCTGTCTCTGCCGCTGCTTCTGCTTCTGCATCTGTCGCGGCGATCGTCGTCAACTGGAATTCATGAATGAAACACATATGCATGTGTTTGTGTGACTTTGCTGATATTCTTGTTGTTGGTGTTGTTGCGGCTGTGATGACTGCGTGTGTATGCAAATTCACAAATAAAAAATGTGTTTTCTGTCGTTGTTGTTGTTGTTGTTGTTGTCTCTGCTGGCAGCATCATTTGCGCGTGCGATATTGAACGGCAGTTGAAGCGAGGGCGCAAGAGACCAAAACGAGGCACATAACATAGGCGAAAGAGCCGAAAGACGCACGCAACACGATTAGAGCTGCTCGACCAAAGGCAGCAGCAATAGCAACAACAACAACAATGCAGATAAAAAAAACATTGACTCACCTAGTCAAAGCAGAAGGCGACGGCCGCTCTGATGATGCCCGATGATAGATCGCTGCTACTCGGCTATGCTCACGCCTGGGAGTGAGGGAGACGGGGCGAGCGAGTGAGCGAGTGAACGAGTGGAGTGCAAGTTGAAGTTAAGAGAGGCTTCCAGTCAAGAGAGGACATTGGACAGCGCGCATAGATTCCCATGTCGTCGCCTTTGCGATCTTCGTCTTCTTCTTCTTCTTCTTCTTGTTTTTGCTGGCATCCCAACACGCCCCAAAAATGAACGACGCGTTGTCTGGCAACGTTGAGCGCTAACCCCCCCCACACACACACACCTCCCCACCGACAAACGCCGACGCATGCACATGAAAATGTTTTTGAATTGCATTTCCAAGTAACAAACAACAAAAACAGCAGAGAAATAAGTTGGAAAAAAAAACGAAAACTTAAAAAAAAAACAACAACAATAAAAGCAACAACTACACAGGCAGCGCAGCATACGTGTGCGTGCGTGCGTGTGTGTGTGTGTTTAAAATAAAATCAAAAGAATTCCACTTTTGTGGCCCCGTCGGCTTCTAAATCGATTTATCAAAAAGAAGAAAACAAAAAAAAAATAAACGAAAAAAAAAGAAGAAGAAAAGAAACACATTCAAGTAAAAAGCGGAAAAGACGCAGGCAAAGAGATAAAAATTGAATATAAAAAAAGGTAAAGGTAACGTAAAAATCGAAAACCTATACACACAATAGATGCACACACACACACACGCACACACACACACACACACACACAGAGGCAGACAGAGACAGACACATGAATTGATTAAAAAGTTGAAAAATAATAATAAAAAAAAATCAAACAAAAATCATTTGGTCAACGGGCCAGGGGCGGACGCGGGGCGGGGCGAGGCCAACGTCTTCAAGCACAAAGGGCGCGGTGCGATCGCTGTCGTGGGCACCGTGTGGGCAGAGCGGCAGAGGGGCCGAGGGGAGGCACACATAAAAGCGACACAGAGCGAACGTTCGCTAGCCAGGAAAGGGCCGTGGCGGGGTGCAGGGGGCAGGGGCTAAACGCTATTGGGCCCGGGTCCGGGCCGACGCCGCGCTGTCTGCCTTCGAATGCGGAGCATAAGCCCACACACACAAACACAGGCGCAAACAGCGAGCCGCATATATGTATATGTGTGCACATATACACATATACATACATACACAAACAAGTGGGGCCTGCGGACTTGCCGCTTGAGAGTGGGCAGGGGCGACACTTGGAGACACTTGGAGACAGCCACACTCGAAGAACTCGGCGCGCACGCGTAACCCAATCCGAAACTCAACTTGGCCCAAAACCAATCCGAAGCCAACGCAAATGAAAGCAAGTCAATAAGTCGCAGCGCTGATCAGCCCTTAATATAATATATATATATATATATATATATATATATATATATATATATATATATATATATATATATATATATATATATATATATATCTGATATAACCCACATAAACACAGCTCGTTCGTCTATAGGCACTTTTACAAGCTGGAATTATCCAGAAATCTTGGACTACAAATTTGTTATATGTAACATACAGAGTATATAGAGTATATGGAGTACATATAGTAATTCGACTATTTAGAGTACAAGAGTATATAGAGTATAGAGAACATATCTGTATATAGAGTATACAGAATATGTAGGGTATATGGAGTATAAGGAGTATATATAGAGTATAGGGTAACTAGAATATCTAGATTATATAGAGTATATAGAGTATATATAGTAACTAGACTATTTAGAGTATATATAGAGTACAAGAGTATATAGAGTATATGGAGTATATATAGAGTAT